CGACCCAAGACACCTCCATAGCGTCACGAAAGGAAGGTTGGTTAACTATCCATGACCACAAGGCACCTCCAAGGCGTCGCATCCGGCTTAGTTAACTCAACTACATTCCTTTCTAGACTATACCAACATCACGGACCACTAGGCGCCTCCTAGGCGTCCGGTGTTCGCAACACTTTTAGAAAATATTTTTCCCAAAACAATTTTATTTGTTCTAACAAATATTTTTCCCCATTTCTCTTTCCCAATGGATGCATGAATGCTTCATGTTTCAAATCATCAATTTAACTATATGATTTCACACATTTCCATTTACATCATCTTCACAATTTAATGAAAATTTCTAAACATTCATTTCTTTTATTTATTTATTTATTTATTGACCATAGCATCAATTTTTCAAAGCAATAAATAAATAAATACATAATCTTAGGGTATACAATATGTCAACACTAAGCATGCTCATTCATCGTAATAAATCTAGTCATATATATGATTTCAAATAACACATGGAACACATTTATTATTTTACTTAATCATACTTACAACAACCACAAACTAGGTAATCAAAATTAGCATGCCTAGGATCAAATTTAAGGGGAAAATTCATAAAAAAAACTAAGAAGTTGTAAATTAGAACACTCCCACCTCAAATTTGAGAAAAACCCCAATTTGAGCCCAAGAACCCTAGAATTTCGAACTCCCTAGAATGCACCAAAACTAAAATTGTTGGTACTTACACGTAGATCTCGATGTGCTCTTTGATTTGCCGCAAATGGCACTCAAAAATTTCAAGAATGGAAGGAGGAATCAAAGTTTGAAATTGTAAAATAAAATAATAATAATAAAATAAAATAAAAAAGAGAAGGGAGCTACTAGACAAGAGCGAGAGATATGCAGAGAGAGAGAGAACAATGAGTCTGTAATGACTCTTAAGTCATTTACATTGACTTATAATTCATGTGGGCCCCACAGGTAAATAAATATACATTTTACTTTTATATATATATATATATATATATATATATATATATATATATATAGTCAAAACATTACATTTTCCCTAACTTTAAAAGATTTCGTCCCCGAAATCAAGCCATACTTGAAGGAGAAAACAACTCTGAATACTTAGAGCGAACCTCCCGTTCGAGCTCCCAAGTAGCCTCCTCAACTCCGTGATGCCTCCAAAGAACCTTTACCAATGGTATCGTCTTTTTCCTTAACACCTTCTGCTGTGTGTCAAGGATCTGAACTGGTCCCTCCTCGTAGGAAACATCCTTATCAATGTCAACCTTAACCTAACTCAAAATGTGAGATGGATCTGGTTCGTACTTCCGTAGCATTGATATATGGAAAAAATTATGGACCCTGTCCAACTGCGATGGCAATGATAGTCTGTAGGCAACCTCTCCTACACGGTCCAAGATCTCAAAAGTTCCAATGAATCGTGGAGATAACTTACCACTCTTTCCGAACCTCATTAACCCCTTCCGTGTAGAAACCCGAAGAAAAACGTGGTCTCCCACCTCGAAGGATAGTGGTCGTCTCCGCCTATCTACATAACTCTTTTGTCGGCTCTGAGCTGTAAGCAATCTCTGCCGGATCAGCTTAATCTTCTTGGTAGTCTCAAGTACAATGTCGAGTCCTAAAAAGGCTGTCTCGCCCACCTCAGTCCAACAGATAGGAGACCTATAAGGTCTACCATACAACACCTCAAATAGAGCCATCTGAATACTCGTCTGATAACTGTTGTTATAGGCAAACTCAATAAGTGGAAGGTGATCTTCCCAACTACCACCCAAGTCAAATACACAGGCCCGAAGCATATCCTTCATGATCTGGATGGTACGCTCCGACTGGCAGTCTGTCTGTGGATGAAATGCCGTACTAAGGTGCAACATTGAGCCAAACGCCGCTTGAAGTCCTTCCCAGAACTTCGAGGTGAACTTGGCATCCCTATCTGAAACAATAGCCACTGGAACTCCGTACAATCTTACAATCTTTTTCACATAAAGTATATCAAGTGCCTCTGCGTCATCTGTTGCCTTAATGGGCAAGAAGTGAGCTGTCTTGGTCAATTTATCAATAATGACCCATACGGCTTCATTTCTCTTCCGTGACCTAGGAAGACCAGTCACAAAATCCATTGCAATCTCCTCCCATTTCCACTACGCTACCGGCAATGGCTGCAATAAACCAGCTGGTCTCTGGTGCTCGGCCTTTACCTGCCGACAGGTAAGGCACTTAGCCACAAACTGTGCAACGTCCTTCTTCATTCCATTCTACCAATACTGACGTCTCAGATTGTGATACATCTTGGTACCACCCGGATGAACTACAAAGCGGGAAGTGTAAAACTCCTATAAAACGTCCTCACGAAAAACTGTGGGAACAACCAACAAACCTCTGAACCGTAGACCTCCATCTGCATGTAAGGTCCAATCCTTCACGGTCTCGCCACTGGAAATCAGAGTGTAAATGGCACCCAAATCCGAATCATGTCTCTGTGACTCAATCACCCGTCTAACAAGAGTGGGATGAGCCACGAGACTAAACAAGAATGCTGACTCACTACCATCATCATCATCATTAAAGTAATACAATCCCATTTCAGCCAAATCTTCAAGCATCTTCCATTTTCGAATGGCTAAACTAGCCAAAGTCCCACGAGATTTCCAGCTTAAAGCGTCAGCTACCACATTTGCCTTGCCAGGATGATACTACAAATCAAAGTTATAGTCTTCTAAGAATTCAACCCATCGCCTTTGTCTGTTGTTCAAGTCCTTTTGGGAGAAAAGGTACTTGAGACTTTTGTGGTCCGAGAACACCTCAAATCTCTCACCATACAAATAGTGTCTCCAACACTTCAAAGCAAACACGACTGCTGCTAACTCTAAGTCATGAGCAGGGTAGTTAAGCTCGTGAGTCTTCAACTTTCAAGACCCATAAGCCACTACTCTATCATCTTGCATCAGTACACAACCCAAACCATCACGTGAGGCGTTACAATAGATCACATAACCCAAGCCACACTCAGATATCACTAACACCGGAGCCGTAGTCAACCTTGTTTTCAACTCTTGAAAGGATAACTCACATGCCTTATTCTATGCAAATTTGATCCCTTTCCGGGTCAATCTGGTTATAGAAGCTGCCAAACAGGAAAGATCCTTCATAAATCTCCGATAATAACCTGCTAGGCCAAGGAAACTCTGGATCTCAAAGACATTCTTGGGTTGCTCCCAATTCAAAACTGCCTCTACCTTTGAAGGATCAACTGAAACCCCACCATCTGAGACAACATGTCTCAAAAATTTTACCTCTTGTAGCCAAAACTCACACTTTTCATATTTGGCGTACAAACGGTGCTCCTGTAGAATTTGCAACACTATACTCAAATGGACCTCATGCTCCTCCCGAGTCTGTGAATACACAAGAATGTCATCCACAAAAACTATTATAAACTGATCCAAGTAATCGTGGAAGACACGGTTCATTAAATCCATGAATGCCGCCGGCGCATTAGTTAAACCAAAAGGCATAACAAGAAACCCATAGTGTCCATACCGCGTACGGAAAGCAGTCTTTGGAATATCCTCCTCTCTAACCCGCAACTGATAATAACCTGACCTCAAGTCAATCTTCGAAAAATAACTAGCTCCCCTCAACTGATCAAAAAAATCATCTATCCTTAGCAAAGGATACTTGTTCTTGATGGTGGCATGATTCAACTTTCGGTAATCAATGCATAACCTCAAAGAACCATCTTTCTTCTTAGCGAACAAGACCGGTGCACCCCACGGTGACACACTCGGTCGTATAAAGCCTTTCACTCTCAAATCGTCAAGTTGCTTCTTCAATTCTTCTAATTCAATCGGTGCCATATGATACGGTGCCATAGAGATTGGCGTGGTACCAGGCATCAAATCAATAGCAAATTCCACCTCTCGGTGTAGAGGTAACTCAGCCAAGTCCTCCGGAAACATATCCAAAAAATCGCGCATAACCGCTGGATAATCAACCCCATAAAACTCAACATCATCATCGGCGAAAAAGCTAGCCAAGAAGAACGCCTGCCGATCCCGACCCCTAACACCATAGAATGAATGAGTGAGAGGATCACACCGATCTCCCACAAAACAGAAACAATCCCCATTTGGGGTACACACTGAAACTCTGCCCCTGAAATAATCAATGACAACTCGGAAGGACGACAACTAGTCCATCCTAAGAATGACGTCAAATCCCGTCATCTCGCGAAGGATAAGATCAAACTCAAGAACACGTCCAGCAATTATGATAGAACAACTCCTACAAACTCTACTAAGAGCAACTGAACCCCCGATAGACGTGTCAACACAAAGCGGTCTGTCTAACTTAATGACTTCCAAACCCAATGCCCGTGCAAATGATGAAGCAATAAATGAATAAGAAGCACCGGATTCAAATAATAAACGAGCCCAAGAATAGGACACAAGAAACATACCCCTGACAACTGAAGGACTGAATGGTCGCTCGACTGGAGTGAGTGCAAACACGCGACCCTGGGTTCTCTGCTCCTGAGAACCGCCTGCTTGATAACCAGACTGCTGAGTGGGTGCACTCGAAGAAGCTCCCCTACCAGGTTGAGAACTCTGGGCTGACACGGCTAGCTGAGACGGTTGAGGTGGTGGTAGCGGTTGAAACCTTGACTGAACTGTCGCAGACTACATCTGCCTCTGCTGTGAACCTCCACCTCTGCCCAAACCACTGCCCCGCTGTGGACAATCTTTCACCTTATGGCCCTGCTGGCCACACCCGAAACATCCACCAGACACTACCTGAATTTGAGTACACTAGGACTTGTGATACCCTGACTGCCCACACTTGAAACAAATCAATTGAGTTACCTGAGCCTGAGTGTAGTGGGACTTGTAATGTCCCGGCTGTCCACATCTGAAACAAGTAACATTCGGTCTAGGAGACCCCATGGACACTGAAGCTGTGGGTGCGGATCTGACTGACTACTGTCCCCTGAACCCTGACTGCTCATACTTTTGTTTCTTACTTGATTGACCCTTGGAGAAAGCACCCATACCCCTGTTGTACTTGTAAGACTCCCTGATAGCCTTGCTGTCCTTGCTCTCAGCCTTAACCACTAAGGCCTTTCGCACTATTTTTGCATACTCTGTCGGTTCTGAAGCAGTTACAATTGGCCTAATGGTAAGATCAAGGCCATCAATAAATTTCTCTATCTTTCCTTCTTCATCATTAGCAATCCCCGGTGTAAACCTCAAAAGCGATGTAAACTTGTTCTTATACTCTGTAACTGTCATGTTTCGTTGCTTTAACCCATCAAACTCCTTTTTTAGTTCCCTCCGCTTAGGCACCGGAAAGTACTTCTCATAGTACAATTTCTTAAAATTATCATATGTCATAGTATCCAAATCGTGCATGTGTGAAATGGTCTTCCACCATATCTCAGCATCACCAATAAAATTGTAAGTCGCCAATGTGATCTTCAACTTGTCCGTTGCCAAATTCATGGCATTAATATGCTTCTCCACCCTATCCATGAAACTATCCACAACAAACGGATCTGGGCCGTCCTCAAACAGAGTTGGCATCAATTTCACAAACTTTGTAATGTGATAAAGAGTATCATTCAACTCATTTGTCTTTGGAGGTGGTGGTGGTGGTGGCACAAACTGTAACGATGACGTACTTGCCGGTCGAAATGCTTTGAAAAGAGTTGCCTCAACAGCCAACTACAACTGTTCCTCATTTATCTGAAAAGGTGGATCAACGGTCCCCCTCGCTTGTCCCCCTCTTGGTGGGACTAAATCACGTAACAAGATATCCTCCTCCTCCTGATCACTTTCCACGGGATTGGAGCTAGAACTTTCCCCGGGATCCCTTCGTGGTGGCATAACGCTATAAGAAAAAGGAAACAGATCAAAAACGATGGTACTAAAACACGTCTGAAAACTGAGTCCTCACATGAATGACTTGACAAGAATGGAAACACATAAACACCTTCCATACTCCCAAAATACCCAACTAAGGATAAACATGATCATGCTAATAATATACAACAACATTAACCACTTAACACGTAATTATATAAGCATTTAAACAATTAACCATGCCTTTCAAATAATTAAACACCTTAACACATAGGCATATAAGCATGCCATCACATAAGTAGTTAAGCAAGTAAACAAACAACTCAACTCCCAATGCAATCCTAGGTAGGCCTCTACCCGTCGTCCTAATGGTATTTGAACCATAACTCTGATACCAAATTTATAACGCCCCAAAAGGATACCAAAACAATAATAAAAATATATATAATTTCGGCATGACCTCCGCAGAAAAAGTCCCTCTACAACCTGTTGAAATACAAAAAATAAATGCAATGGCCTCACTGGGCCTTAAATCTAACATATCATGTCCCAACGCACAATACATATATTATATTATATTCCCAAAATGATTACATATATATAAAATTCCTGTTTCTCCATCTCATCTAAACAAGGAACACACTGTAGTTACATCAATTTGCAATCCAAAAATGTAGTTAGAATTTAAAAGTCCATAGCTTACAACATTATACTAATTAGACTAATGTCTCACAAGATAATTAATATTACATTTAAAAAATATTAGAGTTCTAATACAAAAGATAGCAAAAATAAAATAGATCCCCAAGCTCGTCTAAACTTGTGGTGGATCGTCGTCCGCCACCTCTTTTCCATATCCTGAAAAATGTTAAAAAATAATGGGGTGAGCATAAACTCAGTAGGAAGTGTCTAAGACACACTTCTTATGTTCCCGTGAATCCATACAATGAATAAATAAAAAGTAAACGGGATCATGCCATCTGGAAACACATATTCTCAATCACAATAACAAGTATGTAACAAATATCAACCAATCACAAATTTACCACGATGTCATGAAGTGCAATGTTATGCAAATTTCACTCCCCCTTTTCGAAACAATTCCGTTTCAACAACCAAACCGTTAGTGTAGTCCGACCCAAGGCACCTCCATGACATCACGAAAGGAAGGTTGGTTAACTATCCACGACCACAAGGCACCTCCAAGGCGTCGCATCCAGCCTAGTTAACTCAACTACATTCCCTTCTAGACTACACCAACATCACGGACCACTAGGCGCCTCCTAGGCGTCCGGTTTTCGCAACACTTTTAGAAAATATTTTCCCCAAAACAATTATATTTATTCTAACAAATATTTTTCCCCCTTTGTTTTTCCCAATGGATGCATGAATATTTCATGCTTCAAATCATCAATTTAACTATATGATTTCATACATTTCCATTTACATCATCATCACAATTTAATGAAAATTTCTAAACATTCATTTCTTTTATTTATTTATTTATTTATTGACCATAGCATCAATTTTTCAAAGCAATAAATAAATAAATACATAATCTTAGGGCATACAATATGTCAACACTAAGCATGCTCATTCACCGTAATAAATCTAGTCATATATATGATTTCAAATAACACATGGAACACATCTATCATTTTAGTTAATCATACTTACAACAACCACAAACTAGGTAATCAAAATTAGCATACTTAGGATCAAATTTAAGGGGAAAATTCACAAAAAACTAAGAAGTTGTAGATTAGAACACCTCTACCTCAAATTTGAGAAAAACCCCAATTTAAGCCCAAGAACCCTAGAATTTCGAACTCCCTAGAGTACACCAAAACTGAAATTGTTGGTACTCACACGTAGATCTCAACGTACTCTTCGATTTGCCGCAAATGGCACTTAAAAATTTCAAGAATGGAAGGAAGAATCAAAGCTCGAAATTGTAAAAAAAAAAAAAAAAAAAAAAAAAAAAAAAAAAAAAAAGGAAAGAAAGAAGGGAGCTACTAGACGAGAGCGAGAGAAATGCAGAGAGAGAGAACAATGAGTCTGTAATGACTCTTAAGTCATTTACATTGACTTATAATTCATGTGGGCCCTACAGGTAAATAAATATACATTTTACTTTAATATATATATAGTCAAAGCATTACATGTCCTAAGAAAGAGAAGGTGAATACTATGGTTGCTGAAGAAGCCGATGGAGGAGATTCAGACTCAGATGAGGGTAATGTTCAGGTCAATCCTCTTGTCATACAGTCATGATAGGTGCAGGTAGGCGCATGGTTTCGAGGGAAGGCTATGCAGAAATGCTCATGGAGTTATTGCCAAGGTTGGTAATGGTGAATTTCCTCTTTATTTATTTTTCTGATTTGGGTTGCTGGTTGTGAGGACAAAATCCAAAGGTGTTCAGAATTCATGTCATGAATCGAAGCGGAGGTTGAGGTTTATGTCATTATTTAAGTGCAGCAGTGGAGTTATTGCAGTGTTAATATTTAGAATTCGGGTTGATCGGGGCCAACATCCTAAGTTGCAGGCAGAGACTTGTGACACTTTGTGATTGCTTCAACAAGGACTTTGAAATTCTTAAGTGGGGGAGGTTTGTTACGGGGTTGGGACCTTGACAAGCCCCCTGACAGCCATGGGATGTTGTCAGCGTGCACTGGGGGTGCCCAATGGCATTTTCGTAAATATGGTAAAAAAGTGAAGTTTAGAGTTTTGGCTCCGGATCTTTATGGGAGGTACCTTAAGTCTATAGAAGATGGTTGGCGCAGACGGCACTCGATTTGGATGTCGTGCACTTTGAGACATTTAAATATGGGTGTAGATTAGTGGGCATGGCATGGGCTAGGTTCACAAGGTTGGCTCAGATATTGCTTAAAGCATGGACCACATAAGTCATGGCTTATGGTTACAGAAGATGGCTAAGTGGGCTCAGGTGGTTGGGGGAAGTTACACTTCCCACTAAGTGGGCTTAGTTGTTTAGGGGAAGTTACACTTCCCACTAAGTGGGCTCAGTTGGTTGGGGGAAGTTACTAACACTTCCCACTAATGTCATATATTATGGGTAGTGAGGGTGTGTTGAGTAACTTCCCAACTTCCCACTCATATGCATATATTATGGGGAATGGGGGTATGCTGAGTAACTTCCTATTCATGTGGCACATATTTAAGGGGACAACACACAGGTGGTTAGAGTCAGTTTTCTTCTACTATGCTAATATATAGAAGGTGACAGATAATATGTAACTTCCTGTGGACAAGTGGCATGAGCAGAGCGTGCCAACAAGCTAGTAGTTGGGCTTGTCAACTACATATGTAGTGTTGGCATACTTAGTGGGTGCCAGCATGACCCTAGGTGGATGGGGGTGTCATCCACCACTTTAGTGGGTAATTGTGGGTGGATGGGTGTGTCATTCACCACTTTAATGGGCAGTTGTGGGCGGTTTTGAGAGTTTGCCTATATATTGCTAATGTGGGTTCTGTAGAGAGAGAGATTGAAAGTGAGACACAGAGTTGTGTTGTAAGAGACTCTTGTATGCTTCTGCAGGTTGAGGCATTTCCTTGTACTGTTTTGTGAATAATAGTAAAAGGTTGGAAGCCTTGTGCTTCTGTAAATTCGTGGTTGTTATTGTATTTACATTCTTGCAACTATACTTGTGTGTGAGAGTGTTTTACTTGCTGTGTGTTTTAGGCAGCAAGTGTGAGTTGGCTGAGCTAAGTTAGAAATTCAAAGAAAAGTTGTTTATATTTCTTGCTTAGTGCCATCACAGGGCACTAGATTCGTGTTCAGAATTTACTCCTATGACACCTAGTATTGTATACATGAGACATACATGCATATTATGGGGTATAAATGAAGGGAAATGGCTTTTGAACAAATGAAAAAGGGATTTTGGGAAAATGTTTTGGTTAAAGAGATTTTGAGAAAACCCGGTCGCCGCGAAGTCACAAAAGGGCCGGTGTGTTAATATAGCCTAAAGGGAACTAGGGAGATTGCCCTAGCGTAGTTGAGCTATCTGGTCCTAAATGATGCTGTGGGGGTACCAAAGATCAGGGACAGTAGTCAATCCTTCTCTCATGTCGCTGCGAAGTCACAAGTGGGCAGGTTATATTAACAGTTTGTGAAGTGATGGATGTTTTTTTTGAAAATGGGGAGTGACATGCATGGCACTGCATTCATGGCATATCATTTACTTGTTTTGAACTTGAAATTGGTATTGTATTTCTTTCCGGCTTTGCATGACCCCAATTCCTATTGTCTTATTCATTTTTTGGATTCACGGGGCTACAAGAGGTGAGTCTTAGGCACCACCTACTGAGTAATTTGCTCACCCATTTTATTTAATATTTTCAGGCCAGGAAAAGAAATAGTGGATGCCGATTCCTCTCAAGCATGAGGAGGACTAAGGATCTATTTTGTTACCTTTTGTGTTTTAGCTAATCTTTGTAAAGTCTTAAATTATGGAAAAAAGTATTTATTTTTTTGTAATCATGGCCATGTAACATAACTAAGATACTTGACTATTTTTGGATGTAAATTAAGACTATGAAAATGCTTAAGTTGAGTGGGAGGTTGATGTTATGTCTTTGAGAAATTAGTAATAGTTATATATGTGTGTAATGTGGTACATTTTGCCGTGAATTCGGAAATGTTAGATAAATTCTGAAGGTCCAAGAGGAGCTATTGCATGTTTTTATGCATTTAAGCAGGTTGGCGTATGACCCTTTTTAGCAGAGGTCTTGTCGAATTTTTTTTAAAATTAGCATCAGTTTAGGGTCATTACAAATAATAACAAAGATGAGTTTTAGATAAAGTTGCTTTCTATTTTACAGACACATTTTTATTTTTATTATTATTATTTGAAGGTGGCCCAAATTACGCAAGTAATTTTCTTGAATGGAAGAGACGCTTTGATAGTATCGCGGGGATTACTTGAGGGCTTCTTTATCTTCATCGGGATTCAAGATTGAGGATTATTCATAAAGATCTAAAAGCCAGCAATGTGCTACTA